CCTCCAGCTTCCAGTAAATCCCCGGGAGTGGACGTTTATCTCCGCCTTCAGAGATGGTTTATTTCCAGACGTTTTCCACAACGTATTAGAGCTTACTGCAGTAGGCGTCGGCAGGGAAGGGGGGTGGGGCGTAGGGAAGAAGGAGGAGGTAATAGGGAGGAGGAAGAGCTTATGGAGTATGGGGACATAACCTAACCTAACCTAACCTAACCTAACAACATTAACAGGAACCATTAAATACTCTAAATCAAAACTGAATTAATAAACAAAATCAAATCCATTCAAATGACCTTTACACCTTATCATAACAATGTGAAGTGACCTCTCCCAACCCCTCCTTCCCCACCCTCCCTCCCCCACCCCTCCCCACCCCTCCCCACCCCCTCCCCCTCCATAAAATACCTTCAATCTATATGCAAATAAAGTGAACCAGAGTGCACAGGGGAGGAGAGAAAGACAATACCTGTACACTCTGGCACTTTGACACTCTCTCTTTGTTTATTTAGTGCCTTTCATCTTCGACTTAACCCCTGTAAATGTTAGGTGTCCTGCAGGTGAGGTGGAGGTGTGTGTGTGTAGGTGGAGGGAGAGTGTGTGTGTAGGTGGAGGGAAGTGTGTGGTGGAGGAGAGTGTGTAGGTGGAGGGTGTGAGTGGAGGAGAGGTGTGTGTGGGTGGAGGGAGAGTGTGTAGGTGGGAGGGACAGTGTGTGGGTGGAGGGGAGTATGTGTGGGGTGGAGGGAGGTGTGTGTGTGGGTGGAGGAGGTGTGTGTGTGGGTGGAGGGGGGGTGTGTGTGTGGGTGGAGAGAGGGGGTGTGTGTGTGTGTGGGTGGAGGGAGGGGGTGGTGTGTGGGTGGAGGGAGGTGTGTGGGTGGGGGAGGGGGTGTGTGGTGGAGAGGTGTGGTGGAGGGAGAGTGTGTGGAGTGGAGGGGGAGGTGGTGTGTGGGTGGAGGGGGAGAGGGGTGTGTGGGTGGAGGGGGAGGTGTGTGGGTGGGAGGGAGGGTGTGTGTAGGTGGAGAGGGGGGTGTGTGGAGTGGGGAGGGAGAGTGTGTGTGGGTGGAGGGAGGTGTGTAGGTGGAGGGAGGGGGTGTGTGTGTGGGTGGAGGGAGGTGTGTGGGTGGAGGGGGTGTGTGTGTGGGTGGAGGAGGGGTGTGTGGGTGGAGGGAGGGGGTGTGTGTGGGTGGAGGGGAGGGTGTGTGGGGAGGGGTGAGGGGTGTGTGGGTGGGAGAGGTGTGTGGGTGGAGGGAGGTGTGTGGGTGGAGGGGGAGGGTGTGTGTGTGGGTGGAGGGGGAGTGTGGGAGGAGAGGTGTGTAGGTGGAGGAGAGTGTGTGTAGGTGGAGGGAGAGTGTGTAGGTGGAGAGGGAGAGTGTGTGTGTGGGTGGAGGGGGAGGTGTGTGGGTGGAGGGGGAGTGTGTGTGGGTGGAGGGAGGGGGGTGTGTGTGTGTGGGTGGAGGGAGGGGGTGTGTGTGTGTAGGTGGAGGGAGAGGGTGTGTGTGTGGGTGGAGGGAGAGTGTGTGTATAGGTGGAGGGAGGGGGGTGTGTGGAGTGGAGGGGGAGGGAGTGTGTGTGTGGGTGGAGAGTGTGTGTGTAGGTGGAGAGGAGTGTGTGTGTAGGTGTGGAGGAGAGGAGTGTGTGTGTAGGTGGAGAGAGTGTGTGTGTGGGGTGGAGGAGAGTGTGTGTGGGTGGAGGGGGGTGTGTGTGTGGGTGGAGGGAGAGTGTGTGTGTGGGGAGTGGAGGGAGAGTGAGAGTGTGTGGGTGGAGAGTATGTAGGTGGAGGGGGAGAGTGTGTGTGTAGGTGGAGGGAGAGTGTGTGTGTGGGTGGAGGGAGGGGTGTGTGTGTGTGAGGTGGAGAGGGAGTGTGTGGGTGGAGGGGAGAGTGTGTGTGTGGGTGGAGGGGAGGGAGTGTGTGTGTGGGTGGAGGGGGTGTGTGTGTGTGAGTGGAGGATGGTGTGTGGGTGGAGGGAGGTGTGTGTGTGGGTGGAGGGAGGTGTGTGGGTGGAGGGAGGTGTGTGTGTGGGTGGAGGGAGGGAGTGTGTGGAGTGGAGGGAGAGTGTGTGTGTGGGTGGAGGTGTGTGTGTGGGGTGGAGGGAGAGTGTGTGTGTAGGTGGAGGGAGTGTGTGTGTGGGTGGAGTGATGGTGACTGTAAGTGGAGTGATGGTGACTGTGTGGAGTGGAGTGATGGTGACTGTGGGTGGAGTGATGGTGACTGTAGGTGGAGTGATGGTGACTGTAGGTGGGTGATGGTGACTGTAGGTGGAGTGATGGTGACTGTAGGTGGAGTGATGGTGACTGTGGGTGGAGTGGTGACTGTAGAGTGGAGTGATGGTGACTGTGGGTGGGTGGTGAGGTGACTGTAGGTGGAGTGATGGTGACTGTAAGTGGAGTGATGGTGACTGTAGGTGGAGAATAAGGAGTAAAAGAAGTTGAAGAAGAAAAAAAACAATAATGAAAATGAAAAACACAAGGAGTAACGAGGTAAGAATGAGGAAAAAAGCATTACCTCATTCGACTCTTTATGAAAGGGATAGGAACACAGGTGGAAAAATTACAGAAGTTATATTTTACAAAAGGCACAAGTAACCAACATTAGTCTCAGAGCATTATAGTGGCATTAGATACTCAGTGTAATATAGAGTATAATTGTATGTTTGTACTGAATGGTGGAGGAATGTTTAATTACTACTTAACAATAGGTCGACTCCGGATTCCAGTCCTGTTCTTGTTTAACATCTTAAGTCCCTCTGTCTTTACTGCCTATCATTATGCTGCTGTTGTCTCTCTCTCTCTCTCCTCTCTTCTCTCTCCTCATGTAAAAGTTTTCCTCCACCACTGCCCTCCTATTCACCCCCAACACCCATCTCCCCTCTCCTCCATCCCTCCTCCCATCCAGCTATTCTCCCCATCCACACCTAGCCCTCCTCTCAATCTCCCCTCCCACTCCTTCCCTCACACCTACACAACCTTCCTCCTCTTCCACTCCCTACTTCACCTTCTCCTCCACACCATCCCACACACTCTACCTTCCCTCCATCTATCCTCCCTCACCTCTCCTCCTCTCCCTCCCTCCCTCCCACCTCCTCTCCCCACCTCCCCCCCCCTCCCTTCACCCCTCCCTACCTCCTCCCCTCTACCTCCCCTCCCTCTACCTCCCCTCCATCTACCTCCTCCCCTCTACCTCCCCTCCTCTACCTCCCTCTCCCTCTACCTCCCCTCCCCTCTACCTCCCCTCCCTCTACCTCCCTCCCCTCTACCTCCCCTCCCTCTACCTCTCCTCTCTACCTCTCCTCCCTCTACCTCCAGGTCACATCAAAACCAACCTCTAAGGAAGCCAAGAATACGTAAGGTATGGGTGATAATTTTTCAGACGACATGGTTAGGTTAGGTTAGGTTAGGTTAGGTTAGGTTAGGTTAGGTTAGGTTAGGTTGATTAGGTTAGGTTAGGTTAGGTTAGGTTAAGTTAGGTTAGGTTAGGTTAGGTTAGGTTAGGTTAGGTTAGGTTAGGTTAGGTTAGGTTAAGTTAGGTTAGGTTAGGTTAGGGAATATTTTAAAGTGTGTTTTTTTCTAGTTAGTGGTGTGTTTTACTGCCTTGTCTTGCCTTATGTGTTTGGTAGTTTGTGCATGTTACATTACGTGTTTGTATCAGATGTTTGGTAGTGATGTATGCCTGTATGTCTCTTTGGTCCCTATGTCGTGTACTGTACCGTTGTCATAAGTGTACTGTGTTAAAGTCAATTCATATTATCTAAGTTGTTGTGTTCTTTACTCTTGGCAAAGGTCATGTACTTCTTTCTTGATGATAGGGGTTCTTGTACACCTCAGCCCCTCCCGCCAGCCCCCTTTAGCCCCTCCCGCCAGCCCCCTTTAGCCCCCCTCAGCCCCTACCCGCTAAGCTCCTCCCTCCCCCTTCCTCCCCCTTCACAAAACTGGTTACCAATATATCAATTTTTGTTCTTCTACTTCTTCTTAAGTGGTGATGTAGCAGGTAAACGAATCTTGTTGGAACTTAATTGTATTCATTGAAATATCGTGAATCAGAGCGGAACGAGAGGTTGTATTAAGGTGAACGACAAAGAATGTAAAATGGTTTAGTGTCTCCTTAAAATATCCAATCTAAATTCCATTCCCTTCAAACACGCTCTTGCTTCAAAGAAAACTATAGTGTATATTTTTAGGGGTGACTGACCTAAATAATGATGGCGTCAATATACAGATAGTAGTGGCACTATATGTAGGCAAATTTTCTTTCTTATTTATTTTTTCACTTGCTGACGTCGACAATTTTTCTTTCTTTTTTTCAGTTGCTGACTTAGACAATTTTCTTTCCTTTTTTTATACCTGCTGACGTATACAATTTTTCTTTCTATTTTTTTCACTTGCTGACGTAGACTTTTTTTTCACTTGCTGACGCAGACAATTTTTCTTACTTTTTCACATGCTGACGTAGACAAATTTTTTTCTTTCCTTTTTCACTTCCTGTTTAAGAATGCTGTTATACATAGAGGTAAAAGCACATATCTCTGTACCATCACCAAACATAAGAACATAAGAACAAAAGAATGGAGGAAACTGCAGCGGGCCTATTGGCCCATACTGGGCAGTCCCGTTTACACTCAACCCCTATTAACATCTCCGTGGAAGATGTTAACGAATACCGCGGAACTATTAAGCATTAGTACTGTATACATTTGAAGGAATTAATTGAGTTCGTATAATGATCATTTACCATATGTATTACCACACACACACACACACACACACACACACACACACACACACACACACACACACACACACGGGACAGAACCAGACACAGGGTATAAGAACGGGTGAGTGGGAGGGAAGAGTAATGGAGGGTGACAATGGAGAAGAAATCGAGGTAGAAAACATTAAAATTATCCGGACACGCTAAAAAATGGATGGATAATAATTGACGAAGATAGAGAAAAGAGTAGAAGGTCAAGAAGATGGTTGAGTGATGGAGGAAGGTAGATGTGACGAGATGCTTGGGGGTGGAGGTGGATGTGAGAGGATGCTTGGGGGTGAAGGTGGATGTGACGAGAGGATGCTTGGGGGTGAAGGTGGATGTGACGAGGAGGATGCTTGGGGGTGAAGGTGGATGTGACGAGAGGATGCTTGGGGGTGAGGTGGATGTGACGAGAGGATGCTTGGGGGTGAAGGTGGATGTGACGAGGATGCTTGGGGGTGGAGGTGGATGTGACGAGAGGATGCCCAGGGGTGGGGTGGATGTGACGAGAGGATGCTTGGGGGTGGAGGTGGATGTGACGAGGAAGGATGCTTGGGGGGGAGTGGAGGTGTGGATGTGACGAGGATGCTTGGGGGGAGGGAGGTGGATGTGACGAGAGGATGCTTGGGGGTGTGGAGGTGCTGGATGTGACGAGAGGATGCTTGGGGGGTGGAGGTGGATGTGACGAGAGGATGCTTGGGGGTGGAGGTGGATGTGACGAGAGGATGCTTGGGGGGTGGAGGTGGATGTGACGAGGAAGGGATGCTTGGGGGTGGAGGTGGATGTGACGAGGAGGATGCTTGGGGGTGGAGGTGGATGTGACGAGGATGCTTGGGGGGGGGAGAGGAGTGGAGGTGGATGTGACGAGAGGATGCTTGAGGGGGGTGGATGTGTCAGTGTTTCTCCTGTCAACACAAACTTTACAAACTATCAGAATCAAATATAGTTTTAAACTTCATGGAAAAGGGAAATTAAACAAGGGTAATACATATATATATTTATACATATACTATATTACATTAAACACAAAGTTTCCTTCTTAACTACATGAGGTAGCCACAGTGGCTCCCCGTCACAAGTAATTATGGCGACGATTATCACATTGTAAGATATTTTGTGCGTCTTGGTTGGTTGACTGTGTTGGTTACGCCATCTTCCCTGCCAGCCAGTTTCTGTCCAATATATCTCCCACGATCATATTTTTTCCTCGAAGATAAAACTGACCAGATTAATGAGCTTACAATAGACCCTGTGCGTAGTGTGATGTGGAATAACCTTCACTAACAAGTCATTAAACCAGATAAATGTAAACCTTTAAACCTTTAACAGTAAATATCCGGTTGTTGTCGGACCAAAATATTTATACAACACGAAGAACATAATGAACTAAACCAAACTGTTCCAATTTTGTTTTGTTTTTCGTCGACCATTTAGTTAAATCCTGAGTTGTGTTGGAGTGTGAGGCAGATGTGATAACAGTATATCACCAGCTGGGTGTGAACAATCCCGAGTTATCATAACGTTCCTGTCTGTTGTTATTGATGTTGTGTTGTCGTTACGGTCAAAATTGACTAAGTTGTGAATGACAAAGATGAATCACTACCTTGATATATATACAAACAATAAACAAACAATAACAATATAATAAAATTTCCTTCGCTACAGAAAAATAAGGGATATTACAGTATAACAATAGCACATCGTTGAAAACTTCCTCATTGTGAGAGCTTTTGTAACACTCATCACTACTTTGTCTGCCTCTTGTTAGTGTTTATGGTTACCTCCAGTGATGTCATGCTTAATGTCCACCTCAGGAGTTTTATTCACATATTTTTGAAGTTTTACGTTAAAACTGTTACAAAATACAATTTTTTTTCAAATTATTGTTTTATTTAATAAACTGTACCTAAAATAACAAAAGGAAAAAAGTGGATCTTGAGTGAACTCTTCAAACGTTGTTGTTGTTGTTTTCTGCTATAAGTTCAGGGCATAGCTATTGGGAAGTTCATATTACTCACTTGGTGAACAACAAAGCAAGACAGAATTTCCGGCAGCCAAGAGCTAGGCCATGACTCACCTGCTCCCCACCACCCTCCCTCCCTCTTCCCTCCCTACGAGATGACCATTCTTTCATTCTAGGAAAGAAGATCTCTTGTTAAAATGAACTGCCATGTACAGTGCCTCTAAGGTATGATAACTAATATAATACAATGAATAAAAAATGTCACGATCATGGTGAATATTCCTTATGCATTAAACACTGGGATAAGGAAATGCATAATCTTATGGGATAATGACTCAAGCCTAGTGCCCCGTACTCTAGCGCATATATATATATATATATATATATATATATATATATATATATATATATATATATATATATATATATATATATATATATATATATATATATATATATATTACATAACACAATGACCCGTATTTACCACACATATATCAAAGTCTTATATAAGAAAGTTTAGCGGTAATATTGCAGTAAACAGTAACCACAGAATTTCGGAAATTCACGACACTCAATCGATAGAACTATTTATTCTATGACCATTTTCAAATATTACATTAGGTTAGGTTAGGTTGGGTGTCACAATTGTTCTTCTTTGATTGCTGTAAACTGCAATTTTACAAGTTAGCATCTGGTGGAATATTTCTTTTATACATGAGTAACTTTATAAACTCTGATTAAGTAAAAATGCCAAAAGAATTTGGGATAGCAGTGATGTATGAAGCTCCTAACTCCATACCGAACTAAGGGACACTTTAACTAACTAAAAATGCAGCAAATAAGCTACAAGATTCTGTTTATCCAGAATAAAAACAGTCGAAAAGTTACTGATAATCTATAATAATTATTTGCTGTAATTTCAATCAGCAAAATACACCAAGTGAATATTTGTTGTGGTTGAATGTGGGTGCGCCAAGTCCGTAGACTTGCTAGTGATAACTTTACTCTTAGGTCTCCCATACTCTTAACATCAGTGTTCAAAATAATAACTAAGCATGAGGTTACAGTGACACATTACATAAAGTTGAATGAGTTTTAGTTCGCCTTACGTCTCAAGGTCGTGTACTTCCATCACTGTCCAGCTTGTCTATCCCACACTGTGACAAGTTGCCCGCACCGCCTCCACACTAACTATCCACCGTTAAGTATATTTGCACTGGGTATTATTATGTATCATGTATAAAATATGTGGCACAGTTCACTATGTACACAAGACGCTCAGCTCTGAGTTTTACAGATGGAAATTGAAATAAAGTGGTAAGGAGGTGCCCACAAGCGCCCTCTCCTCATGTTGTTGAGATTCACTGACTCAACAGTTTTTAAGTGACTTTTCTCGTCGGTGCAAACGTCCATGAGATCTTTTCACTTGTTTTATCTTTATCTTTAATTAATGGACTTAACTTAAACTTCCGTATTAAAATCATGATATCTTTGATCTTTTTCGTCAATGTTTAAAAGTATTTATTAGAAAAAAATGAAGACGCTAAGCTATTTCCAGACATCCTGTGGACACCACTTGTTTATAGTATTATACAAGGTGTGCCATTTAATTGGAACACCTCGTATATTAATGTCATAAAGTAAACAAACATTATGAACAGAGGAGCGACTCAATATAATGTACATCGTGTCGATTGTCTTTATAAAAATCATCAAAACTCTGGTAAGGAGTGACAGCTACATAGTTGCCACATACCACTAGTTTCTTTAAGTTCCATTTAATCATTTTGCTTCACTTCGGTCATTTCCAATTCGTTATTTTCGTGATAGTTTAATATTTTCAGAATTATAAAAACAACAATAATTGGGTCATATTTAATATCCTAATACTCTAAACTATAAATAATTTTTTATTGTGTCATCGATGTTCGTTTATTTAACTAACTATGTTTGTGTAAATACTAGACCATACTGCATCGTTCCCGAGCTGTAGCTGTAACAGTTCCTCTTATGAACCGAGCTGTCAACTCCCTCTTTGTACAATAATTCACCTCCTCACCACCAGGGTGATAATATATATTTATCCTACTAACATTATTTATCCTATTTTTATCTGTTTTGCTTCAGACTTGACGGTTTTCTATAGACACTCATTAAACGGTGCAAACTTTATTCTTTTCCACTCATCACGGGAAGGAGCTCCCATTAATGGCGCGACATTTTCATATGGCCAGCAATCGAAAATGTCATCAATGTATCGTAAATATCCCGCTGAGGTTAATCCATTTTAGGGTTCTTCACTGTATACCAGAAATACTCCCAGTTCTTGCTATTTTAGGTCGTAGTCAATCCCGACCCCTCGTTGGTTTTAAGTCCTGCCTTCATCCTGACCCTCGCTATCTCCGGGGGACTACTTTAATCTTCCTCTTGTTCTTGGTCTTGTTGGTATTGGTATGGGTCTCCAGTTCCTGTTTGGGGTTCCCGAGGCTCATCTTGCACTCGATGAGATAGGCGGCTAGTAGAGGAAGACGCCAGCGCCCTTGTACCTTCAACGTCCGGACAACATCAAGAGATCAGGTTAGTTCGGTATATAGAGACAGGGGAGACATAAAAGAGTAAATAAAATTATATGGTAAAATATTTAAAAACTATGATAGAAACAGAATGTTGGAAGGATATAGATGGTGGTTGGAGAGATGCGTTTACGAAATATTAAAAAAAAAGGGTACAAGGGAAAGATGACTAAAAGATACAGGAAATGTTGAAAGAGTTATCATAGCACAGCACTAAACATTGCGACGAACTCGAACACAAAAGCTCACGAAATCGTACAACATTATGCACTCAGCCAGGAAGAACTAAAGCACCACAAAAGCTGCTCCTATATTGATCATTATATCATCTAAAGCACCACAAAAGCTGATCCTATATTGATCATTATATCATCTAAAGCACCACAAAAGCTGATCCTATATTGATCATTATGTCATCTAAAGCACCACAAAAGCTGTTCTATATTATCATTATATCATCTAAAGCACCACAAAAAGCTGCTCTATATTGATCATTATATCATCTAAAGCACCACAAAAGCTGATCCTATATTGATCATTATATCATCTAAAGCACCACAAAAGCTGATCCTATATTGATCATTATGTCATCTAAGCACCACAAAAGCTGTTCCTATATTGATCATATATCATCTAAAGCACCACAAAAGCTGATCCTATATTGATCATTATGTCATCTAAAGCACCACAAAAGCTGCTCCTATATTGATCATTATATCATCTAAAGCACCACAAAAGCTGATCCTATATTGATCATTATGTCATCTAAAGCACCACAAAAGCTGCTCCTATATTGATCATTATATCATCTAAAGCACCACAAAAGCTGTTCCTATATTGATCATTATATCATCTAAAGCACCACAAAAGCTGTTCCTATATTGATCATTATATCATCTAAAGCACCACAAAAGCTGTTCCTATATTGATCATTATGTCATCTAAAGCACCACAAAAGCTGATCCTATATTGATCATTATATCATCTAAAGCACCACAAAAGCTGATCCTATATTGATCATTATGTCATCTAAAGCACCACAAAAGCTGTTCCTATATTGATCATCATATCATCTAAAGCACCACAAAAGCTGATCCTATATTGATCATTATGTCATCTAAAGCACCACAAAAGCTGTTCCTATATTGATCATTATATCATCTAAAGCACCACAAAAGCTGCTCCTATATTAACCATTATGTCATCTAAAGCACCACAAAAGCTGCTCCTATATTAACCATTATGTCATCTAAAGCACCACAAAAGCTGTTCCTATATTGATCATTATATCATCTAAAGCACCACAAAAGCTGATCCTATATTGATCATTATGTCATCTAAAGCACCACAAAAGCTGATCCTATATTAACCATTATGTCATCTAAAGCACCACAAAAGCTGATCCTATATTAACCATTATGTCATCTAAAGCACCACAAAAGCTGATCCTATATTAACCATTATGTCATCTAAAGCACCACAAAAGCTGTTCCTATATTAACCATCGCCAGAACAAAGCACAACACTATAGCTACTTGACTCACATCAACAAAGCTCAGGCAAAACACATACCACTGACCCACCCACCTGGGGCCTCGGGATCCCGTATATCAAAAACTTGTAATACCCGATACCAGGGGGAATAATGACGAGTCTCAGATGTTCCTCTGTCTCCTCACGACCCACGATACCCTGTCGGAGGTGAGGTGAGGTCAGTCGTCACCACAGATAGGAGGAAAGATAGTAAACAAAAGATATATTTTATGTACAGTCGCCTGCATTTATACCTGGTACGGTGGGTGGTGCATTTTGTGAGATGTGGCACCTGTGGAATGTTTATCTATTATCCTTAGTCTGGTTATTATTGTGAGGTTCCTTAGGGCCATTCCGGGAGTTTTATTTCGATGTAAATAAACACATAGGTGCCACATCATACAAAACATGCCAGCCACTGTAAATTTGCGTGAAAAACACACACACACACACACACACACACACACGTACCTTAAGGTCAAGCATATGACCCTCAGTATCGAACACTTGGAACATGACCATCACGTCGCAGGCTTTCTCGAAGTAGATGAGCTTCTTGCCTCCCCACGTGACGATGACAGGCCCGATCTGGTTGACGGGGTCCAGACCACACTCGTACAAACGCGGCGTCGGGCCCCAAGCCACGTCGTGTGTGGGCCAAGGCACCGGATAGCGGCGAGCCTGACGGTGTGAGGGGGACAGGGAGTGGTTAAATATGTGACGTCGTCTGGTGGAGGAGGTGGAGGAAGAAGTGAATTAGCTCTTAATATAATTGGTACTGGAGGACTAATGATAGAAGAACACCTCACTCTCCCTCACACCAAGTAGAAAAACACCTCACTCTCCCTCACACCAGATAGAAGAGCGCCTCACTCTCCCTCACACCAGATAGAAGAGCACCTCACTCTCCCAGATAGACGACCACCCCACCTCCCCCCCACACCAGAAGAGCGCCTCACTCTCCCTCACACCAGATAGACGACCACCTCACTCTCCCTCACACCAGATAGAAGAGCAGATAGAAGAGCGCCTCACTCTCCCCTCACACCAGATAGACGACCACCTCACTCTCCCTCACGCCAGATAGAAGAGCACCTCACTCTCACCTCACACCAGATAGAAGAGCACCTCACTCTCCCTCACACCAGATAGAAGAGCACCTCACTCTCCCTCACACCAGATAGAAGAGCACCTCACTCTCCCTCACACCAGATAGAAGAGCACCTCACTCTCCTTCACACCAGATAGAAGAGCACCTCACTCTCCCTCACACCAGATAGAAGACCACCTCACTCTTCCTCACACCAGATAGAAAAGCACCTCACCTTCTCACATATGAGGAGGAAGGACACCACATGATCGAGAGCGGATCCTTCATCATCTAGAAGCTCCTCATTTCCTGCGTAGATCTTGAGGATGTAGTCGGCGTTCACAGGAGGCAGGATGGTGAAGGAGCCGATAGCGCCGCCCTCCTTGAGTGTACAGAAGACCCACTGGTTGATGCAGGATTCCTCAGTCTGGTGGGAGGAAAGACACTAGTTGAGGAGGACTGTTGAGGTCTGGTGTGTGGAAGACTTGGGTGGTTGGTTTTTGAGATGTGGGAGTCTGGGATGTGGAGAGGACTGGGATGTGGGAGTCTGGGATGTGGAGAGGACTGGGATGTGGGAGTCTGGGATGTGGGAGTCGGGGATGTGGAGAGGACTAGGATGTGGGAGTCTGGGATGTGGAGAGGGCTAGGATGTGGGAGTCTGGGATGTGGGGGTCTGGGATGTGTGGGAGTCTGGGATGTGGGGACCTGGGATGTGGAGGGACTGGGATGTGGGAGTCTGGGATGTGGGGACTGGGATGTGGGAGTCTGGGATGTGGGGGATGTGGGAGTCTGGAATGTGGAGGAGGGAGTCTGAGATGTGGGGGACTGGGATGTGGGAGTCTGGGATGTGGGAGGACTGGGATGGGGTCTGGGATGTGGGGGACTGGGATGTGGGAATGAGATGTGAGGGATGTATCAGTCAAGCGTTTCGAGTGTACGTGACCTGTTTTTATCAATGATTTATCCGTTCTTGAATTACTTGTGTACATATCATTGTTCATTTGATTCATACCTCGGGCCATGTTACTTATTCCTCGCTATCTCCCCCTGACTATTTGACTATCTCCCCTGATCGTCTAACTCCTCCCCTGATCACCTGACTCCTCCCCTGATCACCTGACTCCTCCCCTGATCGTCTAACTCCTCCCCTGATCGTCTAACTCCTCCCACTGCCCACCTAACTCTTCTCACAGACCATCTATTCTAGCTCCTCCCTCTTAGCACTTACACCTCCCCTCCCCACCCACTTTACCCCCCCCTCCCCGCCCGCCCTTGCCCACTTAACACCTTTCCCCCTACCCACTGCCTATCTCACCTCAGTGGCGGGGAAGAACTTGTACTTGTATCTGATGAGGGTTGGAGCAATGACCGTGATCTCCGTCTGGTTCCTGAACACCACGGGGTTGTGTTTAGGACGACAGAGCTTCAGCCCACACGACCAGAACTCCGGCATCACGTTGGGTAGAGAGTTGAAGTCCTCGAGGGATAAAGGCGAATCCAGCAACTGCCACCTGATGATAAAATAATTGTCCATAGTTTGAAGATTGATTATCGTGTCTTGTTTGTTATCGTGAAGGCAAAAGATAATGATGTTTGAAAGAAAATTTATTATTTCTTTATATTCAGTCGATTTTCAGTTGATTTTTGTCGTGATTGGGAAAAAATTGCCCAAAAATTCGACTATATAGTGTAAATGTAAATACTTATTATATATAACATTAAGAACACAGACTAAATACATGGTTAGGAGAACAGGTACTGAGTAACCACAGTAGATGAAGTAAATGTAGATCACTTACCTGTTGTAGTTATGCTCGAGGTTATCGTAGGGGAAGTGAGAGTGGATCATGTAGTCGGGGTCGGTGAGGAAGAAATGCTCCTGTAGATGTGGATGGAACTTCCCCTGTTTATCCACGTGGCCTACAGGAAAGACAACTACTTAACTATAGCTAATCGTGGTTATCTTACAATTACTGATGTTTACCCCACACTCACTACAATTACCAAGTTATAGCACAGTTAATACAGTTACTAACAGTTAACATTACTCGTCCCCCCCCCCAAAAAGTATCTTTACGATTTTGTGTGAGACAATATGACACAACAGACGAAGGATTTTGACAACCCTACCGAGACAACAGGAGTCACAGTGTTCATTGTGAAATTTATCGATCACCCCAAGTACAGATAGTTTTTAGGAGTGACTGTCTTTTACCAGTCTATTGTATCTACCAACAGTTTCCTCGCGTTAAACAAACTGAAGAGATTATCAACAACTAGTCTACACTTACTAACCTTAATAACAGGTACAGTTAATGATTTAACACTAATTAATTACCAACACTTAACCTAACCTAACCTAACCTCATCATTATCGCCATTACTTCTATCTCACATTACAGTTACTAACAATTACATTACAGCACAGGTATTACAGGTGTTACAGGTATGAACATTACACATTATTACAAATTACCTTACTGTAATCACCAAATAATTACTATTACTTCATTTTAATTGCACTTATAACAGCCACTTAAATTACTGGTAGCTACTTCCTACAGTTACTATTGATTGGCTTTTATGGTAATTACGAAGTTGTTAACATAGGAGGCAGGTGATAATGGGAGGGGGAGTTGACTAATGGGAGGGGGAGTTGACTAATGGGAGAGGGAGTTGACTAATGGGAGGGGGAGTTGACTAATGGAAGAGGGAGTTGACCAATGGGAGAGGGAGTTGACCAATGGGAGGGGAGTTGACTAATGGGAGGGTTGACTAATGGGAGAGGGAGTTGACTAATGGGAGGGTTGACTAACGGAGGAGTTGACTAATGGGAGAGGGAGTTGACTAATGGGAGAGGGAGTTGACCAATGGGAGGGAGTTGACTAATGGGAGGGGAGTTGACTAATGGGAGGGGAGTTGACTAATGGGAGAGGGAGTTGACTGATGGGAGGGAGTTGACTAATGGGAGGGGGGGACTAACGGGAGGGGATGACTAATGGGAGAGGAGTTGACTAATGGGAGGGGAGTTGACTGATGGGAGAGGGAGTTGACTAATGGGAGGGGTTGACTAACGGGAGGGGAGTTGACTAATGGGAGGGAGTTGACTAATGGAGGGGAGTTGACTAATGGGAGAGGGAGTTGACTAATGGGAGAGGGAGACCAATGGGAGAGGGAGTTGACTAATGGGAGGGGGAGTTGACTAATGGGAGGGGGAGTTGACTAATGGGAGAGGGAGTTGACTAATGGGAGGGGGAAGACGATAATGGAAGGATGATGATTGTGACGGGTGATGATTGTGACGGATAAGTATGATGAATAATGATGAGGATTGGATGATGGATGATCGAGGCGGATGATGGATGATCGAGGCGGATGATGAATATAAATGATGGGTAAGTCAAAACCTGCGTCAGCCCAGCCCAATGATTGTCACACATGAGAGACTAACTTCATTCTGATCCTCCAGAACTGACCTAATACTAATACTTGACCCTTCAATTCTAACCTAATACTCCACCCTCCAATTCTAACCTAATACTTGACCCTCCATAATCTGATCCTTCATACATAGTCTTGAGTCCCACCCTTATACCTAATACTAGTTCCTCACCTGTCGACTGTAATTAACCTTGATTGACCCTAATTGACCCTTAATCACTACCTTTGATTTTTATCCACTTGTGAATAAGATTATTGTTAAGTCCGGTTCAGCTGTTTACTCTCACACCCTTTTCTTATCGTCTATAACCTTTCATTTCTCACCTGTTGACTCCTAATTGAATATTCCTAATTACTACCACGGACAGGTATAGTGATGATGAGTGTTCCATAGTCTGTAATTTATCCACCCTTGACCTTTCATTTATCACCTGAGAAACCCCTAATTAATTAAGGCTTATCACCTGTTTATTTTCTTCTCTTTCGTCTACTATTATTTTGACTGAAAATGGTCTTTCTAATTTATCGTCTAAACCCTTTTATTAATCCATATTTACTATAATTAATTCTTTGTTTCCTCATGTACAGTATAGTATAACAAAAAGCTACTTTATTTAACTATTTTCTTGGTGGATGAAACAATGGACTTTCTGTGTGGCATGTGGCCGGAGTGTTTACGTGATACACTGGTTATGTGGTGTATGGTCGTGTGTATTACGGCACCTGTGGGCGTGTAGAACCTGATGTGTTATGCCTGTAGGAGCGTACGATCGTGTATATATCGGTACTGATAGGTGCGTATGAGTGTATTTATACAACACCTGTGGTAGCGTATGGTTTTAATTCACGAGCTTTGTGATATTTCTCTTAATAATCGTAAGTTTACTTTGGTTAAAATGTGTGTGTGTGTGTGTGTGTGTGTGTGTGTGTCGATTACTCCACATCGTAACGCTTGGAGGAGCACCACACGAGAAGGTGTCAATACTTTCGAGTTAGCCCGACTGCAAACCGAGACAGACAAGCGGCCGGAAAGACGCTGCCATCGCCCCTCCCGCACTAGATGCAGCCCTCCACATGTGCAACGAATGTGGACGACCCTGCGGGTCCCGTATCGGGCTCTTTAGTTACCTCAAAACTCACCAACCTAGGTGACATCCCTAATAACTCGTATCATTGTATCAGCTGGATGATCGTCGTACTCGATTCCGAGTGACAGCAAAGTAGTAGTAGTAGTAGTAGTAGTAGTAGTAGTAGTAGTAGTAGTAGTAGTAGTAGTAGAGAGTGTGTGTGTGTGTGTTCCAAAAGCGTGCGTGTTGGTGTGTCTGTTCATGTAAGTACCCCTCCCATTATTACAAGGTACTGGAGCCAATCATTAAATATAATACTCTTTTCTCCCCAATACTTTCCACGCGAGTGTTCAATTATTCAAAGAATGTTTGAGTCTGGTGGCCAACATTGGATTATTTTTTTGTGTGGATTTTGACGAGTGACAGAAAATGCGAACGTGTCAATTGGCCAGCAGTCACCATTATATATTTCGTCACATTGTCTCCTTCCTTTAAACAGACCGAGAAGCTGTGAGATAACATTGATTTTAATTCACCTTCTTAAGTGTGACATCAAGACACGATAGATAAATACAGATACCAAAACAGCAGTGAAAGTTTCCACGCAGAACAAACTTAACCTAACCTAACCTAACCTAACCTAACAATAGGATTATGTTAAGTTATCAGTTAAGAAAAGAAGCATTGTATTGTAGCAGTCCATTCATAATTCAGGAACGACACGATATCAACACCTCAGAACTGGACCGACACACAGTACGACCCTGAGGACCACCCAGGGCCTCTGTGTTCAGGGTGATCCTCGAGGTCGGTTGATTAGGTACAACGGATGAAAAAGAGTAAGGTCATGAAGCTCTGTATCCTCTATGTATCCTCTATGTATCCTCTATGTATCCTCTCTGTATCCTCTATGTATCCTCTATGTATCCTCTATGTATCCTCTATGTATCCTCTATGTATCCTCTCTGTATCCCCTTTGTATCCTCTCTGTATCCTCTCTGTATCCTCTATGTATCCTCTATGTATCCTCTCTGTATCCTCTATGTATCCTCTATGTATCCTCTATGTATCCTCTCTGTATCCTCTATGTATCCTCTATGTATCCTCTATGTATCCTCTATGTATCCTCTCTGTATCCTCTATGTATCCTCTATGTATCCTCTATGTATCCTCTCTGTATCCTCTATGTATCCTCTATGTATCCTCTATGTATCCTCTATGTATCCTCTATGTATCCTCTCTGTAACCTCTATGTATCATCGGTGTTTATGCAAGAAAATTAGACAAACTCAGACCTTAATGACAAGGTATGAAAACGTTATCCTCTCATACATACGGTAACGTTATCCTCTCATACATACGGTAACGTTATCCTCTCATACATACGATACGACTGAAAATATCCAAAACTACAACAGAATTTTGTCTCTAGCTACCAGGTGTTAATGATCTAATAATGTAAAGTTTCTTCTGGTGTTAATTAAAGACAAATAGGTATTGGTCAGCCCAGGTGTTGGTTTGTTTGGCTCTGTTACCTTGTCAAGTTCGACCCCAGTCCCTTGTGTCCAACGTTACATTCAGTGATTTCCAGCTTAGTTTTACATATTAAACTTGTAATCTGCTTAAAAATAGTTCATTCTGGTTTTTGTGTGTGTGTGTTTGTGTGTTTGAGGACAGTAAAAACACTCAAAGACAATCGTTTGCACTTTATGATTCACACAGAGACACAAAGATTTAGTATTTCGTCTGACCTTCGCGTGTGGCAGCAAAGGTCAAAGATCAACATTTATTGTCAATAATACTCATCAGTTCACAGCTCAGCAGACGGACTTTGTGAGCTCATAAAATTAGCCATTTCTTGCCCATTTCTTCAATGCAATAATTTCTTTCTCTAACCTTGAAATATATAAACCAACACACTCCCACATGGAAATAATGCATATATATATATATTTTTATAAAGTACTGTATTTTGCCAAAAGTGATTGAGTACTAGTGTGTGTGTGTGTGTGTGTGTGTGTGTGTGTGTGTGTGTGTGTGTGTGTGTGTGTGTGACGCTGGCGGGGGTGTGCATATCTTATTAGTACCTCACTAAAATCGACTCCATCACTAACTTGAGTGAGTCATAAACTGTCCGCCCACACACACACGCACACGCACACACGCGCACACGCACACACGCACACACACACACACACGCACACACACACACACACACACACACACATTTCCCTATGGTAATCTAATGAAACATATCCTTTCTTTGAATAATACAAACTAAACTAATTTCTCTTGATAAATGCAATGTAATATAATGAATTATTAATGTAATGTAACCTAGTTTAGTGTAATGTAATGTAATGCCACGTAATAGAATGGAATGTTATAATTGGGTAATGTAACAAAGTGTACTGTTGTGTTATGAAATATATTACCTAGGGTTAATGGTGTCAACCTCGTGGTATGTGAAGGAATGATTCGATTATGTGAGTATCGTAATGTTTTCTTAATGCACATTGCTAGATACGGTCACAGGTACACACGGTCACAGGTATACATAAACACAGTCACGGCCTCAGGTACACATACATAGACACAGTTACATGTACACACACATAGACAGTCACGAGTATACGCCGATAAATACAGTCACAAGTACACGTCGATAAACACAGTCACAAGTACACACAAATAGACAGTCACAAGTATTTACCAATATATGTGTACATACAAGCACATACAGGTACACATAAGCAAACATACATACACACAGGTAAACAGGGTCACCAGGTAAAGAAATACAAACATGCACGGATAAACAATGAACACGTGGCAGTTGTATTAATTAATCAGGTGTATAATATGTATGTTACCTGGTGTGTGTGTGTGTGTGTGTGTGTGTGTGTAAGAGGGGAGGGAGACAGACAGACAGACAGACAGACAGATAGACAGACTGCTCGCGTACAGCCACTCACTAGAACTAATACTATCAATACAAGTACAGTGCTTCGTGATGGTCAGTGTGTTCACCACTTCCCCCTCTCCCCTCTCCCTCCCCCCTCTTTCTCCCCCCTTCTCCCTCCTCTTTCCTCCCTCTCCCTCTTTCTTCCCTCCTCCCCCCTTTTCTTTCCCTCCCCCTCCCTTCTCCTCCTTCCACCCTCATCCTCTTCTCCTCCTCTTCCTCTCCTGTCTCCTCACCCTTCCCTTCCCACCCTTCTTCCTTCCCCCTTCTTCCTCTTCCCCATCCCTCCCCTTCCCTCCGTCTCCCTGACTGTCGACAAACAACAAACCTTAGTTGCCACCACCACCACCTCCACCACAACCACTACTACCACCACCTCCACCACAACCACTACTACCACCACCTCCACCACAACCACTATTACCATCACGCCAACGCCCATCACCACCACTTCCAACACCACTACCACCATCACTACCACCGCTGCGATCATCAATATATCACTACCACCACTATACCACTACTTCCACCACTTCTATCACCACCCCCTCCACCACCCCCTCCACCACCTGTCTCTCAAATCTGTCTACTGTAATCTGTTAATCCTGTCTTTGTAATCTATCTTCTTTCCCCTGTCTTATGTCTGTCTGTTTGTATGTTGGTCTTGTCTGTTTCTCAATCTGTCGTGTCTGTCTCTCTGTCACTCAATGAATTTATCTGTCCTTTTTTTTATTGTCTGTCTGTCTGTCTGTCTCTGTCTTATATTCACGTCTTTTCTTCCGTTTGTTTGTCGCTATAAGAATCATATTAAACGTAAATATAAAAAAAAAATCGCAATTGATAGAAATATTAAACTTTCCTATTGCATCGTCCTCTACTGTCAAAAGGTCAAAGGTCAAGTTCAATTTGATCTTATGAATGAAACACCAAGTTCAAGTTTATAGTTGTGTTTTGAAAGAATATACTCATGTTAATTTATACGAGTAGAAAAGTTTTAAAAGAAGTTTTGATCTTTCTTACGCAGGTGAAAAAGTTTTAAAGTCAGTAGTATTTCTAACCTAGATTGACCTTTGACCCCCCCCATCAACTTGAAAATGTAACCTTAGATAATAATTCTTGCCTCTTGTTAACCAATGTGACCTAGGATGACCACATAACACTGCAGAAGTAACTGAAATAACCTATGATGACCTTTGACCTTCTATGACGTACCTGAGCCCAAGGTCGGGTCGAGGAAGCGCCAGGAACCATACAGGAACACCGCCAACCAGGAGTGTAGTGGGTCTCTCTCAGGCTCAAACACCCTACCCACTCTATAAGGAGTAAAGAGCCACTGTGAGTTAGGTTAGGTTAAGTTAGGTTAGGTTAAGTTAGGTCAATATAGTCAGTTTTGTGTAGAGTTTAAACTTATACCTTATATTTTGTGTATTATCTCACTTACCACCACTCATCACTCTCACCTTCACCACTCTCACCACCACTGTCACCACTCACCACCTTCACCATCCTCACCACCTTCACCACTCACCACCTTCACCACTCACCACCTTCACCATCCTCACCACCGCCTTCACCACTCACCACCTTCACCACTCACCACCTTCACCATCCTCACCACCTTCACCAACACTCACCACCTTCACCACCATCCTCACCACCTTCACCACCACTCACCACCTTACCTGAAATCTCGACCTCTAGCAAAACCGTGGATCTTCTTGACTCTTAGGCCAGCCAGGTGACACATCTCGACCAGCAGAGCCACATAATCCTTACTCACACCTGCCCTAGACCACAGCACCTCCCCCACCGTCTGCTTAATCTCCATGTACTTCCAATCGAACCTGTGGTGAGAGAAATATTGCCAATTATTAAACTGTTTCATTTGGTTTCGAAGCAGTAATCGACCATGACACGAAGTAGGATTAAATGGGTTTCAGAATGACCGAATAAGGATTTGGGAATTATGAAGCAGTGTCATTTGATCAACTAGTTATTCTGTTTCTATTATATCTAGTTAGGTTAGGTTAGGTTAGGTTTGTGATAGGAACTTTATTATGAAGAGAGTTGACACTGAGGCAAGGAAGCTACTGTAGGTGTGAGGTGTAGGTGAGAGGTGTAAGGTGTAGGTGAGGTGTGAGGTGTAGGTGAGAGGTGTAGGTGAGAGGTGTAAGGTGTAGGTGAGAGGTGTTAAGTGTAGGTGAGGTGTGAGGTGTAGGTGAGGTGTGAGGTGTAGGGGTGAGGTGTACAGTAGGTGTAAGGTGTAGGTGAGGTGTGAGGTGTAGGTGAGGTGTGAGGTGTATGTGTGAGGTGTAAGGTGTAGGTGAGGTGTGAGGTGTAGGGGTGAGGTGTACAGTAGGTGTAAGGTGTAGGTGAGGTGTGAGGTGTAGGTGTAGGTGTGAGGCGTGAGTGTAGTGTCTGGAGAATATAGTGTTAGTTGCCATTCAATAATTTAAAGAGTTCATTAGTGTCCAATATTTTAAGCAAATATAAATAAAAGTAACAATCGCTGCAAGATATGACACTGTATTTCTACCTCCTAATAAATCGAGAATCATAACGTTAATGCTATTACTATTAAATAACATGAATTAAACTGACACCCACACACCTAACCTAAAAGATAGATATAAATTATTCAGTTATCAATTCATTCATGTACTTGACACGACACTAACCTACCACAATCAATACCTGACCTCATGTTTTCTAATCACATATCCATAAAAAATATATCATTTTTCTTACTTATGTGTTAAATAATTTATATACTAAAGAAATTATTACGTGAGTGTAAGAATGTGGCAGCTTCGCCCTCATGAAAATATTGTACTGTATATCCGTGTTGACTTGAGTGTGTGTGTTCGGGTCAAGGTCTTGGGTCGGCTGATACGTTTTGGACTCTGACGTGTCTCGTAGCCTAGGGACCTTGCATGGTTAATGAATGACAGAGGTGAGGGTGGTAGGGTACATAGCCTCTCTCTCTCTCTCTCTCTCTCTCTCTCTCTCTCTCTCTCTCTCTCTCCTCAATATATATACACAAACAAATACTCATTCCACATACACCTACACTCACTCACTCCCTCTCATACACTTTTCTACAACTATACGCTACTCACCCCCCAAACACACACACACACACACACACCATAAAAGTTCTCCTGGCCATCATACCTGGCCATCGTCGAGGTGGCCATCAATAAGAGTTAAATAAATAATATACCGAAGCACTTATACACCTACATATATATATATATATACTTACACTCACATATGTACACTTGCTACACAAACTATCCGCAAGGAGGTGGTGGAGTCCAGTAGATGTCAGAATGAACACTGTGACTCCTCTTGTCTCGGTAGGGTTGTCAAAATTCATCGTCCGTTGTGTCATATTGTTTAGCCAAAAAGTTTCAGATACTTATACAATTACTTATACACTTAAAGGCTATAGTTTGTGTTTACTTCTATGTATACATGTATAAAACTCCCTGAACACTTGACAATCTGGCATCTAATTCTGGGTCATAGGTTAGGTTAGTTTAGGTTATATCTTTAATAACGCTTTTTTTTCTTCACATATTATATCAGAACTACAAAATAGAGACAAAAATACAAAGAAAATATAAGAAAAATGTGTTTAAATTCTAATCGCAGCTCATTTTTATTTTATTTTTATTTATTTTCTTTTTTTTAATGTTACCGACGCTGATTTTGACGAACTGTGTATATATCAGATCGCGTGACACCTGGAGGGGTATTAAAATATGACCTCTCGTGTCCCCTCCTTCGATCTTGTTTAGACTGATGTCTTCCTCAGCTCGTTTTCAAACCTTTATGGGACGAGGGACAAAGGGCGTACACTCAAACACACAGACGCTAAGCAACGAAAAAAAAAATTAAACGTGAGATTAATTTTTTGGGATGTTTTATGTGAATGAATTTGTGTTCGTAATTTGAAGTTAAAAATAATTCGTCTTTTGGAGAATCGATACAAATTACATTAAATAAACTATGAACGAAAGGGAAATTGTTCAGGTAGGGTAAATTTAATCAGGAATACGAAAATTTGCCTATTTTACTTTGAGTTTAGCGAACGTAGCGAAATATAAGTGAAAATACAGAAAATAACGTTACCTAATTTGACCTCTGTATTCAAAACTATGGTCAAATACAGGTGAGAGTACAGGTAGGAGGCTAAAAATTAGATAGAATTATATTTTTTTCACTTATATTTAGGGATAATGTTAATATTTCTTAAATAAACACTTCTTATGGTTAAATTAACTATAAAAATAAATTAGTGGGATTACTTCAAAGAGGCTGATATAGTAGTTTACTGTATAACCTAATAAATAAATAAAAAGTAAAATGTTTTAGTCATATGCATATCATGAAATTGAAGAAAATATGTGATCGTCGGGTCTTATTCAGTAACAATATCAATATTAGTTGGTAAATATTCCTGCGTGAGTGTCAATCATCCTGGAAATTCAACCTCTTAAAAATATTATACTTCGGTGAACTCAAAGTATAGTTATTCTTTACGATACAAATAACAACATAAGAATGGAGGAAACTGCAGCTGGCCTATTGTCCCATACTGAGCAAGTGGGCAGTCCTGCTTACACCCAACCCCTATCGCTCATATATCCATCCAACCTATTTTTGAAACTATCCAGCGTATTCGAGTTAGTGATGATATTTGGTAACTTGTTCCATTCATCCACTACTCTGTTTTCAAACCAATGTTTACCGATGTTCTGCCGTTGTGCATTAAGTAACTCATTATTTAAATTGTTGTGGAACTCGTCAACCTCAGATCTCGTAATCAGGTCATCCTGAAACCGCCTTATTTTGTGAGATTATCGTTGTCAGGTCTCCAGGTAAAGTGAGGTACAGTGGGTAGTGTGTGAAGTCACCTCACATGAGGTCACCACCAAACGTGATACCCATTCTCTCAGCTGCCTTTTCAAACTGCGACTGCCATTAAATTCTAAATTGAATCTTACTTCTTTGTGATCGCTGTTAGCAAGTTCGTTCCCTACCTCGACATTACTAATGAGGTTTTCTCTGTTTGACAGAACTAAATCGAGTATATTATTACCCCGGGTGGGTTCGGTTATATGTTGACTTAGGAAACAGTCCTGGATTGTTTCAAGAAAATCCTCTGATTCTGAGTTACCCGTAAGGCCGATCCAATCTATTTGGCTAAAGTTAAAGTCGCCTACTATACAGACTTGCTATGTATGGAAGCCCTGCTCATTTCATCCCAGATAAGTCGCTCATTAACTCTATCATCATTAGGAGGTCTATATATTACTCCTGTGATTATTTTTTCACTACCATCGGTTAATTCTATCCAAATTGTTTCTGTATTCAGTTCAGGTTTTATTTCCTTCTTTATTTCACACTTCAGATTATCCCTGACATAGATTGCTACTCCGCTTCCTTTTCTAATCTGCCTATCGGACTGGAATAATTTGTAACCTGCAATTTGGTATTCGACAGGTAACTCACGTGAGTCTAAGTTTATCCATGTTTCAGTGAATACCATTATATCAATTTTTTCGGTACATACCAACGCCCTGATTTCAACCATTTTGTTTGTCATACTTCTACTGTTTGCGTAGTAGACGTTTAAGTTGGCTGTGTTCTGAGTCCTCCCTTTGTCGCGTTTAGGTTTTAACTCCCTGTCTAATTTAGTTTTGTCATCATTCCTAACACTATTTCTCTATAACCTTTCACTTTGTTTACCCGCTCCTACTGCAATCTTCTCAGTCCTCATGCTCAAGTAATACAGGTAATGGGACTCGCTCTCGATTTTGGTCTCGGATTTAGTGATCTTGATTATATTCCTGGTTCACACACACACATACATACACACACCTCAGGCTATGCGTTGATCAAGGTGTACCAAGGTGCCAAGCGACCAACTGTTTACCTAGAACACCTGTTTCTACGTACCTCCTTGATCACGTGTTTATGTTGGGTACCTTAAGTCTTTAAAAAAAAAGTATCGTAAATTTCCAGATCGTGACGATAAACTTTGGTCTTAATTATTAATTTCAATAAATACACGAGCTATTGGTTGACACTCATTGATTAATTAGATATCCAAGGTGATGATAAGTTAATTAGGTGCACCTGTATGTCTTATTATATGATTGCTATAGGCATGTGGGTCTTAGATACACATTAACACACACACACACCAAACTCGTCTCCTTGCCAGACCATTGCCCCAAGCAACTTACCACCTCAACCAGTGACTTACAAACACACTCCATCACCCGACACGACTATGAAAGTAATTAATATGTGTGTGTGCAATTTCTTCACATGTTAGTTTGTACTCTGACACGCCATCTGATGTACGTCTCCATCCTCTGTTCAGGACGTGTTTTATTCATGTTTATTGTTTGTTTGGTTTTTTTTCTTTTGGGGGAGACACAGGCAAATCGAGAGAGAGGAAAGGGTTTAATTACTCATGTTACCTTTGATAGACGTGTATATAACTGTTCCAAGTTATCGTATGGTCTCCAATATAATGCGCCATGCTTATAAAAATCAATAAACCTAACCTAATCTAACGCCACTGTAAGTTAAATATAATTATAAAACTATAAATATAAGAAATCGTCTAGGTTAAGTTAGGTCGGGTCAGGTCATGTCATGTCATGTCAGGCTCTAGACACACTTCATAATTATAGTACTGACACAATCGATCCAATTTTACCTCAGTAGCTGTAGCTACTTCACTCCTGAGCAGTTGCTTCAAGTATATAAGGGAATCATTCGTCCTAACTTGGAGTACTGCTCTCATATCTGGGGTGGCTCTTCAACTGTTAGACAGGGTGGAATCAAAGGCATTTCATCTTATTAACTCTCCTCCTTTAGTTGATGATCACTCTTCACTTTCTCTTCGCCGCAATGTTGCTTCACTCTCTCTTTTACAGGTACTTTAACGGGTACTGTTCTGTGGATTTGGCATCCTGTGTACCGCCGGCAAGGCCGTGGGCTCGTAACACTCGTCTTGCCCGCGGTGCCCACCGTTTCTCTGTGACTGTCGGTCACACTAGAATAACCCGTTATAGTACATCCTTCTTTCCTCACACAGCCAAACTGTGGAATGCTCTGCCTTCTTCTGTGTTTCCATACTCTTACAATCTGACTCACTTCAAAAAGCTGGTTTTCCGGCATCTTCGTGGTGTACTGTAGATATATATATATATATATATATATATATATATATATATATATATATATATATATATATATATATGTATATATATATATATATATATGTATATATGTATATATATATATATATATATATGTATGTATATATGTATATATATATGTATATATATATATATATATATATATATATGTATATATATATATATATATATATATATAATATATATATAATATATATATATTTATATATATATTATATATATATATATATATATATATATATATATATATATATATATATATATATATATATATATATATATATATATATATATGCAAGTAAATCACTGTAGGTGCGCGTGATCTAGGTATATGCTGATAACCACAAGGAAAGAAGAAAACACGAAGTTCCCAAGCGCTTTCGTGTAATTCACATCTTCAGGGGTGAGTACAGACTAAAGAGGAGTACAAATCAAGGTGTATATATACAGAGGAGGGTGAGACCAGGTCCACAATGGTCAGGTATTAGGTAATGACCCTACTAATCTTTAAATAGCACGGCAACGGTCGGTAGTCAGGTCAGAAGGTAAGGTGACCCAACCTTCTCACCTGGTTATAAATCTTCTTAATTACAAAATTGTCCAGTTTGTACATGCCATTACTCAAATTCATGTTGAATGCTTCGGTATGTTTAATGAGACTAGATTACAAGGTAATATTGAGGAGGCATTATCCCAGTCAATGCAATGCTTGTTATCCCTCAAATGAACAAACAGAGCATTGGATTCTTGGCCTGTCCTAACACTATATTTATGCTGTTTAAGTCTAAGTAAAACATATTACATTCCTTGCAAGGAACTTTATAAATGCAACCAATTGTGTTGTTGGGGGAGTTCTTGATTAACATTTGTTTAACAGTGCATGAGTTTTTAAATGCCACATTGACGTTCCAGGTTTTTAGTTGTAAAGGAATGTGTGAAAAATTTTTGTGAAATGGTAATATTAAGATATTCTTATGGTCATGGGTGGGCTTGGGATCAGTTCTATAAAAAGTTTTCTTGTGGTTATCAGCATATACCTAGATCACGCGCACCTACAGTGATTTACTTGCTCTTATTTTTTCGCCCCCCCCCTAGGCCCCGTTGTGAGTCGATGACCTGTGCCCGGGTGGGCTGTTTGCACGTATGAAGATAATTAACATGAGTTAGTGATATGAGGTCACAGTGGAGTACTAATGATTCTCCAGATTGGTTGATAATTCTATAATCCGTTTTGATTATCCATACGTTTTGTACCTTACGTGTACGATAGCAGATTAGATGGACTACACACGATAGCAGATTAGATGGACTACACACGATAGCAGATTAGATGGACTACACACGATAGCAGATTAGATGGACTACACACGATAGCAGATTAGATGGACTACACACGATAGCAGATTAGATGGATTACACACGATAGCAGATTAGATGGACTACACACGATAGCAGATTAGATGGATTACACACGATAGCAGATTAGATGGATTACACACGATAGCAGATTAGATGGACTACACACGATAGCAGATTAGATGGACTACACACGATAGCAGATTAGATGGATTACACAGATAACAGATTAGATGGACTACACACGATAGCAGATTAGATGGATTACACACGATAGCAGATTAGATGGACTACACACGATAGCAGATTAGATGGATTACACACGATAGCAGATTAGATGGACTACACACGATAGCAGATTAGATGGATTACACACGATAGCAGATTAGATGGACTACACACGATAGCAGATTAGATGGACTACACACGATAGCAGATTAGATGGACTACACACGATAGCAGATTAGATGGATTACACACGATAGCAGATTAGATGGACTACACACGATAGCAGATTAGATAGAAACACGCTCTTCTTGCCTTCTTGTTCCACTTTGTTGCTTAATAAATTTACTCGTAGCCTAATTCCTTACAGTGTTGTTGGAGGATTTATAACATGTCTGTGTGTTCCATTGGTAAAGTTACTGGTGTATGTCCACCTCTCCTTTCCCCTCCTCCTCTTCCTCCCCCTCTTCCCCCTCTTCCTCCTCCTATCCTCCCTCTTCTTCCTCCTCCTCCTCCTTTAAGGCCTCGTATACTGTACATCCTATTGTAAAAATAAGAGAAAACACAGTCAAATTTTCCTCCGACGGTAAATTTCTTATTTTTTTTTTTCTGACCCTCGAGGTTTAAAGATTGATTTTAGCGTGGCGTGTGGGTGTGGCGTGTGGGGTGGCGTGGGCGGCGGGTGTGGGGTGTACAATAGGCGTGGAGTGTGGGGTGTGGATGTAGAGCATGGGGATATGGAATGTGAGTGTGGAGTGTAGAGCGAGCGCATAGGAGTTGGTGTGGAGTGTGTGTGTGTGTGTGTAGAGTGTGAGGTGTGTGTGTGTGTGTGTGTGTGGGGTGTGAGTGTGTGTGTAGAGTGTGTCTGTGTTTGTGTGTGTGTGTGTGTGAGGTGTGTGTGTGTGTGTGTGTGTGTGTGTAGAGTGTGAGGAGTGTGTGTTTGTGTGTGTGTGTGTGTGTGTGAGGAGTGTGTGTGTGTGTGTGTGTGTGTAGAGTGTGAGTGTGTGTGTGTGTGTGTGTAGAGTGTGAGGAGTGTGTGTGTGTGTGTGTGTGTGTGTGTGTGTAGAGTGTGAGGAGTGTGTGTGTGTGTGCAGAGTATATTTTGCTGTTACTGCCACAGGTGTCCTTCTAGCCAGTAAATAAATTATGACGCTGCAGTATTTATGACTTAACAATGACACACTTACATACACCACGACTATAGTGTCTCTGTCTGTCTGTCTGTCTCTCTGTCTCTCTGTCTGTCTCTCTGTCTGTCTCTCTGTCTGTCTCTCTGTCTGTCTCTCTGTCTGTCTCTCTGTCTGTCTCTCTGTCTGTCAGGTCTTGATCATAAGTTCTTCCTCATAATCTATCTCTTATCATATGTTTGTATATTCATCCATCCATCAATTGGCAACTTAAATTTCACGGAACTTTTGGATGGCCACGTGTTAATATAGATCTAGTTGGAGGTAGTTTTATCCAGGTTATGTTCTTTGTTGTCATACACGCCACAGCGGAAGGGGGGTCGATTCTTACTTCCGGGTGGGTGGGTTAGTGGGTGTGGGTTAGTAGGTGTGGGTTAGTGGGTGTATGGGTTAGTGTGTGTGTGGGTTAGTGTGTGTATGGGTTAGTGTGTGTGTGTTTTAGTGTGTGTGTGTGTGTGTGTGGTTGTTGTCTCCTCTAAAGCACTCTAATTACCTGTGTATTTACCTGAGAGTCTTGTTTCACTTACCTGCCCAGGACTCTCTCTCTCTTACATTCCACATTTTTTATCTCACTCCTCATTTTACCTTCCTATCAACCCCCAAAACTCTCACTTTTTCTTCCTTTTAGACTCTCTCTCTCTCACTCTCCTCATCCCATTTACCTGTTTATCCAAGATTTTCCTCCTTTATTACTCATTTACCTGTATGCCTCACCCTGTCTTAATTTTCCTCTCTTTCCTCACCTAGCTGTCTGCCTAACACTCAATTTTCCTCCATTATTCCTCACCTGTCTTTCTGAGGACCTCGACTCCCCCCCACCCCCCCACATAATCATATCCAGTACCTACCTGATGTTGCCGGTGACCCATTGGAAGAGTGCCCTAAGCCTTTGTAGGTCATCGGCGGCAGGTTTACACAGGTACCGTACAAGTTCTGCTGTATCCTTCGTCCCCTGTAAGGTCAATACATGTTGTATCTCAGGTCAAGGTATACATGATTCACAGGTAAATATACATATGGTAGTATACTGTATGATAAATATGAATAACTACATGTATAATACTTTAACATAGTTGGGTGCCTCCGCCGACACTCACCTCTCTGGGGATGGTGAGGGCGTGGGCATCAATGGTAGTGAAGTTGACGGAGGAGAGCAACTCGGATTTCTTGCACTGTGGCGGCCGAGCAGCGAATTCTGGCGCTTCGTCTGTCAGGATATCGTTGTCTGTCTGTACACTCACGTCCACCTGAGGATAGTAGTAGTAGTTGTAGTTGTAGTAGTAGTAGTAGTAATAGTAATAGTAGTAGTTCTACGCCAGACTCGCGGAGGTGCTATCCAAACAGAAGCAGCAGCCCAGAATTTATGTTACAGCCTGGTTGAGATGTCGACTGTCCTTCTCTCTCCTTAGGTCTACTTTGCTCTGCCTCGGGGGAACGAGAGCATCGACCCCAAAGCCGACAACAGTTGCAGATATTGACTATAGGGCAACAGTCACTGAATGCCGCATAGATCGGCGGCTCAACAAACTCAACACAGCCAGGATAGCTACTTATGTATTAGGATATTTAATATTAAGGTAATAAAATGGCGGCGAAGGTGTGGCTATTGGGGGAGGCTGGAGGCCACGTATAAAAAAGAAAAAAGTAGTAGTAGTAGTAGTACCGTACTACAGAATGGATATAGAAACCCCTGAAAGAATTCAGAAAAGGATGACAAGACTAATCCCGGGCATTAGGAACCTTGAGTACAGAGACAGGTTAAAGCATCTTAATTTGCACTCCCTCGAGAGACGTAGAGTGAGGGGCGATATGATCGAGGTGTATAAATGGAAGTCAGGGTTAACAAATGTGACATTACAAAGGTATTCAAGCTATCCGACCAGAAGCGAGCTCGAAGCAATGGTTTTAAATTAGACAAATTTGGATTTAGGTGCGAGATAGGTAAGCATTGGTTTGGAAACAGAGTAGTGGATGAGTGGAACAAGTTACCAAACATCATCATTAACTCGAATACGCTGGATAGCTTCAAACATAGGTTGGATGTATATATGAGCGATAGGGGTTGGGTGTAAATGGGACTGCCCAGTATGGGACAATAGGCCAGCTGCAGTTTCCTCCATTCTTATGTTCTTATATTATTGTTCTTATCTAAAACAAGTAGCCACAGTCAAAGGACATGAAATGAAAAATAGTGACGGAAAGTATACTGAGAATCTGAGATGTTATTGTGTTAATGTACAGTACAAAGTTACTGAAATTCTCACTTTGATAAACAAACACACACACACACACACACTCACACACACACACACACACACACACACACACACACAGAGAACGCTAGTCATTTTTTAAAGGTACTATACTTAATAGAACATACAGGTAGATACACAATGCTACAGGTATACGATACATTACTACAGCTACTGACCATGATCTTGCGGGAGCGGTGAGGTCTGGGAGGAACAGTCAGCCCGACACCAATATGTTATCCACACCCAGATGAGCCAGTCTCGACCACCTGTCACATGCTTCTCTTCCGATGCCGCCAGTGTTGAAGGTGGAGCTGGGAAGGTGGTCGGGCTGGGCTGGCGGACTTACTGGGGGTGTAGGGGGATAACGCCTGGTAGGGGGTGGAGGACGAGGGGGCGAGGAAGGGCAGAACCGAGGCCTGAGGTGGAGGGCCCCGAACAGGCGTCAGCAAGAAGCCTCCTCTGGTCACCCACTCATGCTGCCAACACACACACACACACACAAGGTCAGCAGAAACGTTCACGAGAAGTATACATAATATAGCAATACATATTAGACTAGTTATTAACCCCTTGTACACTGTGCCCCCTCTGTGCTGAATAAAATAGCGTCCCCGTAGTGAAGGGGTTAGTGGACAGGTCGAGGTTCTCCTGGAGAGGTTGAGGGAAAAGAACTCTTATTATATATGACTAAATATGAATAAGTATGACCATTAAATTTCTATCTACCACTTTTGTGTTGACAGTTACCTGGTATAGTGTGTTACCTGGTAGTGGGTTACCTGGTAGTGTGTTACCTGGTAGTGTTTTACCTGGTAGTGGGTTACCTGGTAGTGTTTTACCTGGTAGTGGGTTACCTGGTAGTGGGTTACCTGGTAGTGTGTTACCTGGTAGTGGTTACCTGGTAGTGTGTTACCTAGTGTGTTACCTGGTAGTGTGTTACCTGGCAGTGTGTTACCTGGTATAGTGTGTTACCTGGTAGTGGGTTACCTGGGTAGTGTGTTACCTGGCAGAGGTACCTGGTATAGTGTTACCTGGTAGTGGGTTACCTGGTAGTGGTTACCCAGTGGGTTACCTGGTTGTGGTTACTCATAGTGTTACCTGGTTGTGTGTTACCTGGTAGTATGTTACCCGGTAGTGTTACCTAGTAGTGGGTTACCTGGTAGTGGGTTACCTGGTAGTGGTTACCTGGTAGTGTGTTACCTAGTAGTGGGTTACCTGGCAGTGTGTTACCTGGTAGTGTTACCTGGTAGTGGGTTGCTGGTTACCTGGTAGTGTGTTACCCGGTAGTGGGTTAGATGGTAGTGTGTTACCTGGCAGGGTTACCGGTGTGTTACCTAGTGTGTTACCTGGTAGGGTGTTACCTGCAGTGGGTTACCCTGGTGGGTTACCTGGTAGTGGTTACCTGGTAGTGTACCAGGAGTGGGTCACCTTAGGGTTACCTGGTAGTGTGTTACCTGGTAGTGGTTTACCTGTAGTGGGTTACCGGAGTTGTCACCTGCAGTGGGTTACCTGGTAGTGGGTTACCTGGTAGTGTTACCTGGTAGGTTACTGGTAGTGGGTTACCAGGTAGGTTACCTGGTAGTGGGTTACCAGGCAGTAGGTTACCTGGTAGTGGGTTACCAGGTAGTAGGTTCCCTGGTAGGGTTCCCGGTGGTGTACCTGGTAGTGGGTTACCTGGTAGGTTACCTGGTAGTGGGTTACCTGTAGTGGGTTACCTGGTAGTGGGTACTAGAGTGGGAATTCCTGGTAGTGGGTTACCTGGTAGTGGGTTACCTGGTAGTGGGTTACCTGGAGTGGGTTACCTGTAGTGGGTTACCTGGCAGTGGGTTACCTGGTAGTGTGTTACCTGGTAGTGTGTTACCCGGGTAGTGTTACCTGGTAGTGTGTTACCTGGTAGTGGGTTACCTGGTAGTGTGTTACCTGGTAGTGGGTTACCTGGTAGTGGGTTACCTGTGGTGGCGGGTGGCGGCAGGTGGGGCATGAGGTAGGGAGCCTCGGTCTGAGTGGACACTGACGTAGTGGTGATCTCCGTCTGGGTGCTGGCGTCCACCACCTGTAACAACCAGGGGCAGGTTAGGTTAGGAAGAAGAGTTAGAAGTTAAGAAGGTTAGGAAGAAGGTTAGGTTAGGGTTAGGTTTTGAGTGGCGAAGTAACACTTAAGGTTTATAACACTTAGTTTAATTCCACACTTAAAGATGTCACACTCAGAAGATGTGAGACTTAGATGATGATGTCACTCGAGGGTTGTGTGTGTGTGTGTGTGTGTGTGTGTGTGTGTGTGTGTGTGTGTGTGTGTGTGTGTGTCTCGTGCGTGCGTGAAAATCATTTAACAAATAAAATATTAAATGGACCAATTTCCGCGGGAGCTTTTTTTATACTCATTTATTCATAGAGTTCCGGCCTAGACACACACACACACACACACACACACACACACACACACACACACACACACACACACACGGCACCAAACAATGACCACAATAAATCGACATATATACTTTCCTTGGTGTTACATCATGACAATCTGCACACCTTAACCTTCTTAATTATTTTATTATTTGTTTTCCATTGTAGTGAGGATATACCACTGGGATATACTTAGAGGTATAATTAATCCTACTCTATATAACTAGTATGATGGTATGTTGTATTGAGTAAAATTATTGTATTATAAATTTGATATTGTATTTTTTTCTTCTATGTATTGTATTATATTGTGTGTTTGAATATATATATACCTTTACCTTGATGTGGGTAGTGGAGGTGGAAGGTCTTGGAGCGGTGGTAACGAGAGGCAGGTAGCGGTAGTCTGTCTGCACGAAGGCGTCATGACGATTTAGTTCTGTGGGAGAGGTAGTCGAGTATGTAGATTAGTATAGACACACACACACACACACACACACACACACACACACACACACCACACACCACACACACACACACACACACACACACACACACACACCACACACACACACACACACACACACACACACACCACACACACACACACACACACCACACCACACACACACACACACACACACACACACCACACACACACACACACACACACACACCACACACACACACACACACACACACACACACAACAACACACACACACACCACACACACACACACACACACACACACACACCACACACACACACCACACACACACACAAGGGGGGTGTTTTACTCACGGAAATATGTTGGGTTAGGAGGGAGAGTTTGTGGCCTCTGTCTTCGTTGTTGCTCAGGTCCCAATCCAGCTCTTCCTCCAGCACTGCCTGTCTGCACGCCCACCTCCATCACCTTCCATGACACCTGCGACAGACGGAAGATAGTGGGTGGTTGTTTCTCTTCGTAATTATACCTCACAAATTCAGCCAAGTGTCAGGTCTGTGGCTGTTTGGCAATAATGATTAACCCTTTTCCTTTCTTTTTTCTTTCTTCCTTCCCTTTCCTCCAACATAACCATTCTTCGTCCCTGCTCATGTCATAGTACCTTTTACTTACAATATATTAATGAAGAACTCACATAACAACATAACAACAAATTATCTATCATTACAGTACACAATCAAAGCTCCTTTCCGGAACCTCAGACAAGAGTACTCTAACATATTAACCCTGACCTCCCCCCACCCCCCGGAGTACCCAACATATAACCCTGACCCTCCCCAACCCCAAGATTACTGAGCAACACAGAAACAACACAACGAGAAGAATTTATGTCAACGCAATCATTCTCTATCATTATTTGTACACAGAATGGCTCAGTTGCTGCCTATATCCTAATGGTGTTTTAGGGCTTTATAATAGTTTAACGAGGGTAATGGGTGTAGAAGGGAGGTAGATGGGTGGGTGTGTGTGTGAGAAAGAACCAGGCGATCTTTTGTCAACACAATACAGCATTACAGGGACTATAATGTACTGTACCCGTAAAAGCTACTTGTCTAACTGTTATGACCAAATTCAAAATTACCGTAATACCTTGAGAGAGAGAGAGAGAGAGAGAGAGAGAGAGAGAGAGAGAGATTACCTAAATTCCTAAATCAATGACACTACAGATAATTACTTTAAAACACAGGTGTATATCGCTCTCTCCACCTGATGTACTTAACACCTTGACGGGGCCACACCGATCATAGGGCGGCAGTCGTGTGTGTGTGTGTGTTGGAGCAGCGTCGTTCTGGTTTATTTCACCTTTACGCTTTTACAATAATACTCACACGCAATATTGATATAAGAGAGACTATTTTAACCGCACTGAAGCATTACCAAAGACTTTGACTCAGAGGCGCCGCCAGATATTACAAAGGTGTGGAAGCAATATCAGGAATTATTACATCAAAATTAATACTACAAAGAACATAACCCCCATTAACCAGGTACTTAACAAATTAACAATGCTCTAACAAATCATTAACAATTATTCCAACTTACATTATATTCTCATTTGAAATATTATAACTATACAATTAGTATCAGGATTCTTACTCTTAATTGATAATGAGTAGGTTGGTTGGTATCTAAACATTACCCTCCATTTATCACTGGCAAGGTGTTAAGCATGAGTCACTAGCCATGGCAAGGTGTTAGGTATGAGTCACACAGTTGGAGCACAGCCAGGCAAGGTTTGGTATAGTCACAGCCAGGCATGCACACCGAAGAGTCACGCCATGGCAAGGTGTTAGGTATGAGTCACTAGCCTGGCAAGGTGTTAGGTATGAGTCACTAGCCATGACAAGGTGTTAGGTATGAGTCACTAGCCATGGCAAGGTGTTAGGGTATGAGTCACTAGCTATGGCAAGGTGTTAGGTATGAGTCACTAGCAAGAGGTGAGAGAGTCACACCATCAAGGTGTTATGATCACTAGCCATGGCAAGGTGTTAGTAACAATGGCAAGTTAGGTGAGTCACTAGCCATGGCAAGGTGTTAGGTATGAGTCACTAGCCATGGCAAGGTGTTAGGTATGAGTCACTAGCCATGGCAAGGTGTTAGGTATGAGTCACTAGCCATGGCAAGGTGTTAAGTATGAGTCACTAGCCATGGCAAGGTGTTAGGTATGAGTCACTAGCCATGGCAAGGTGTTAGGTATGAGTCACTAGCCATGGCAAGGTGTTAGGTATGAGTCACTAGCCATGGCAAGGTGTTAGGTATGAATCACTAGCCATGCCAAGGTGTTTGGTATGAGTCACTAGCTATGAATGGTCAGGAATGGCTACCCTGTGAATTAATAATACTCTCCGGGTTCACTGCCTTAGCTCACTCATTCTCTCCTTGGAATCATAAAAAAAATCATAGTTGTAACCTGTTTTAGGTTATTTAGGTACACACTCACACTCACACACACACACACACACACACACACACACACACACACACACACACACACACACTTATATAAAAACATTAAGAATCACATCATATATCATAGACACAGAAATAGTCATGATAATACCTGAAGAATGTGTTAGTTATGTAAGAGATCGATATACCTTCTCCCTGTCTAGTACTCTATAGGCGGGAGATGGTGGAAGGTGATAGCCTTCTCATTTAATATATTCACATTCTTTTTATAAGGTTACTCAGATAAGTATTTCCCTACAATGTCATTTTATTATTCTCCTTTCAGTAAAATTCTAAAATAAAAAGTACAAATTGATAACTTGTTAGACTTGGACTTTGAGTTGTGGTATACAGCGCCTGAGGGTTATGTCGCGGCGCAGTTGTTACCGACGTCAAAGAGAATTGTAAAGTGTATGTTTGCTTCAAGTCAGTTTCTTGCCTAATAACAAAATGTTTCTCTAATATAGCTGGGTCAGGGCTGCCAATTATGAATCTTTTGTGTGTGTGTGTGTGTATGTGTGTGTGTGTGTTGTGTGTGTGTGTGTGTGTGTGTGTGTGTGTGTGTGTGTGTGTGTGTGTGTGTGTTGTTATAAAATCATTGTTTCACTCTAACAACTAACATTTAAAAATTACAGAGAAAAAATTAACATCGAAAAATCTTCAATATGAAAAAAAAAAATCATTAACTTGTGTCAACTTCTCAATGGTTGGTGACTTCCATTGTAAGAGTAAAAATATCCTGCCAAGTCTTTCCTGTTCCCAGTGTTCGGTATTTGAAGGATGAAAAAAAATAAACTTCCTTTTCAATAAGAGCTATTCAGGAAATCAGGACTTGAGTTTCCAATACGAATACATACAGAATATTTATGTCTCTACGTTCTGTATAAAAAGAATTCTGAAGGGAATTTACACCCCAGTTTATTTCACCTTACCTCCCCTTCTCTCCTCAAATAGCGTTAGGGTGGTTAAGTTTTAGGTAAAATAAGCTGGGGTGGTGAGTCTTCAGGTGATTCAAATTTAGTATATAATAATGTTTGAGTTTTCTGTCTTAAGGAATCAACTTCATTATTAGTTTTCGGTGTTCAGAGATTCATACCGATTCGAAGTAACGAAATATAGTATACTGATGAAGGTCGAACACTCACCCACTACCACGACCCACCTCTCACCCCCCCACGACCCACCGCCCACCTCTCACCTCCCACGACCCACCTCTCACCTCCCACGACCCACCTCCCACCTCTCACCGCCCACCTCCCGTCCATCAACACTCGACTAGGAATTGACGTATGCCCCACACACGAACACTGATTGTACAATATGTGGTAGAATGTGCTGGACGACCGTGGGATGGTGGAGTGTGGTAGGGTGTGGTAGGGTGTGGTAGGGCTGGTCAGAGTAGTGTCATCGTTGATTGAGTTTAAGAGGGGAGTTGGTTAGAGCACGTTAGAGTCTGGTGAAGTGTGTTAAGACATGGAATAGGGGGATGGTGTGTGTTAAGAGCATGTTACATGAGGGTGAAGTGCGTTAAAAGAATGTTTCATGGGGGTGAAGTGCCTTAAGAGCATGTTTCATGGGGGTTAAGTGCGTTAAGAGCATGTTTCATGGGGGTGAAGTGCGTTAAGAGAATGTTTCATGAGGGTGAAGTGCCTTAAGAGCATGTTTCATGGGGGTGAAGTGCCTTAAGAGCATGTTTCATGGGGGTGAAGTGCGTTAAGAGCATGTTTCATGGGGGTGAAGTGCCTTAAGAGCATGTTTCATGAGGGTGAAGTGCCTTAAGAGCATGTTTCATGGGGGTGAAGTCTGTTAGATCACGGTATAGTTGGATAGAGTGTGTTAGAATGATGAGAGTAGGTCGAAGTGTGTTAGACCATGATAGAGATGAGGCGAAGTGTTTGGTGCCGTTGTTGTTGTATCAATAGAACATCTAAAAACTAATAGGAAAAACTAATAGGAAAAACTAATAGGAAAAACTGATAGGAAAAACTAATAGGAAACTGAAGGAAAAAGCTAATAAAACAGAGGAAAAACTAATAGGAAAACTAATAGGAAAAATATAAACCATTCCTATTTACATATTTTAACAAGACTTTTATATCAATAACTTTTTTTTGTTGCCCAAAAGTTACCCCCAAAACACCAGTAGACTATAGTAAAAAAAAAAAAAAAATATCGGTATTTGATGTGAGTTAAGCATACCACTTCTGTAACATCGTATTTTACATAAACTAACTTTTCATACGAGAACACCTGAAAAAAAATTATTCATATGGAAAATACATACACTTAAAGGAACTATATCTAAAACACATTGAACCTGAAGAATTGTGTGTTTTTTCTTTTAAGTTACGCACAGAAGCAAAATTTTACTGGAATATTTTTATTATGTAGTTACGACCTTACGATACTTTAACAAAAACTATATAAAAATTCCCCAATATGTGATGGTTTCCAGGAAGTAATATTTTTTCCTACATGAGTCACACATCATGAAATCTGATATATTACGATTTTGTAGTATTATATTTTATTAAACCAAATCTGAAAACTTCGATTTAAAGCCGTAAAGAACAAGAATTAACTGTAGTGGTTAACATGAAAATAATTACCTTCATTCTGTAACCTCCTACACTGATGGTTCAATAGGTGAGATACAGTATAAGGAACACGACGAGGATATCTTTTAGTTATGAATTAATCAGAATAATACTAAGTCTTGAATATGTATGTCGAGGTGTCGTGTCGTGTTGTGTCGTGTCGTGTTGTGTCGTGTCGTGTTGCTTCGTGTCTCGTATTTGCTTCGTGTCGTGTTGTGTCGTGTCGTGTTGCTGGGCCAATTGCAAGAACAGTCGTTGGGTGTACGACGCCGTTTACGATGACCTTCTTGCCCTGATCTTGTTTCAGGAATACCACCCTTTTGAAGCTCTGGAGAGATCTCGAAGTTTCGATATTTTGAGTACAGCACTAGCTAATAATTCCCACCAGGAAACTTGCTTCGAGACTCCTCCAAAGCTTCGAAAAGTGCAGAATTCCATGTGTTAAAGGCGATATTGCTGAAAAAGACCAGGGCAAGAAGGTATCATCACCACACCCATAACCGTTTTTACTAATTGGCCTAATCATCGTGCCGTGTCGTATTAAGCGTAAGTGTCGTGTCGTGTCGTCGTGTGTCGTGTGTCGTGTCTCGTGTCGTGTCGTGTCGTGTCGTGTCGTGTCGTGTCGTGTTATATACTACATCAATATGGACCATAAGAGTTTCTACACAGTATCGTCCTCAAGCAGTGGTACCAAGATGACGATAAACCTCAGCTGAGTATTGAGATAAAAACAGACTTTATCGGAACTACTGAATGTGTGTCGATAATATAAGAAAGAAAAATAAAATGACTGATGTTTATATAAGATAACTTGGGGGGGGGGGGGTGAACCAATATTGTATTATACCTAACCTAACCTAATCTGTTATTGGAATATTTCTAACGACAGTCATAGTGGATATAGATTGTATTGAGGTTCAGTAAAAGAAGGTCATCCGCTTCTCCTACAAACCGAATTTTGGCACTATATAGAAAACTGCTAAAATGCATATGGAACACACAGTCACACACACAATTATGTAATATACTATAGGACTAGCCGTGTGTCTGTCTGTCTGTCTGTCTGTTCTGGGCAACCGAAACGGCACAATCGTTTTTCATCAAAATGGTGAAAAAATTCGTAGAGTGGAACAAGCCTGGTCCCATGTCGATGGTTTCTTTAGGAAGGCAGTAATTAACCATTTTATTTACAATGGAAAACTATGAAAGTCTACGGACTTGGCGCACCCTAATTAACTATGCACGTCTACGGACTTGGCGCACCCTCATTCGCTGTACGCTAGCCAAGCACGAGCGTTCTAACTTTCACTTGGCACGAAGGTGCTCGCGATCACTTGTATAGGCTATAGTGTGTGTGTGTGTGTGTGTGTGTCAGTAGTAAAAAGGATCTTCTCTATTAGACCTGATCATTTCTCGGGTGAGTATCGTGTGGTCTTGAGTCGGGACGGTCGACAGGTCTTACTTAAGGCGGCTCTGTAATCGAAATAATACGGCCTTCACTACCATGGTTCCGTGACTGTGCTATACAAGTCCGTGTGATCACCTGATAATGAATAATTTTCCTTCCAGAGAAAATTTTACTCAAATGTTAAAGGTTTATTTTGTGTTGGGTTTATGTAGGTTAATAATCAATATTGATCAAATTAAACCATTTAAATGGATTTAAATACTTGTTGATCATTGTAGCAGTGAAGGCGGTCATTATGACTTAGCAGATACAGCCAAGGACATTTATTATTAATCGCATACATAAGAAATACCACCAGCTTGTCAAGGAACTCAGCGGAGGTGGTTCAAACTTTCTGCAGTACCAACCACACGTTTTATAAACCTTACTCGTTGTTTTATTGTAGCTCTTAATTCCGGTTTTATTTTGGGTAATCTTTTTTATCCCGATTTATATACCACATCTCTTGCCTTGTCACAGCCCTAAACTTTGCTCTATATTTTCACTATATATCTACTTACTGAACTCGTATAAGGCTATAGGACATGGTTATATTATCTTATAAATATACCTGATAAGTTTAAATAATCTGTGTTGGTTAATCCTTGACCTGATGGAATTATCGGACATTCAGTTTTCCTAAGATTATAGAAACTATCGGATAGGGAATAATTCAAAGGCCTAAAGTAACTGAAGCGCTACTTCTATTACCACTACTATTACCACTACTACTATATGCTCCCACTACTACTACACGCTCCTCCTACTACTACTACTACTATTTTTTTTAAATGGCCTCCAGCCTCCCCCAATAGCCATACCTTCGCCACCATTTTATTACCGTAATATTAAATATCCTAATACATAAGTAGCTACTACTACTACTACTACACGTTCCTACTACTACTACTAATACCCGCGCCCACTACTACTATTACTACTAAAAAAATAATAATAATAATAATAATAATACTGTAATAATAATTATACACGCTCCCATTGGAGGGAAAAGCAAAAAGTTTTGGCTTTGCGTGCTAAAACTTTTTAAGATAAGTCTATAGTTTTTCAAGTTCAAAAGACCAATAATATTTAAACTTACTTTGTACATCTATCACTATATACTCAATAATTCAGCCACTTTATAATTACTGAAAATAAACGAGAATTGTTACTAAATTTCCTCGTCACAACACAGTCTCTTGAAATGTGATTTTTCTCACTTAGATCAACATGCAAATCCTGTATCATAATTGAACTCGGCGACAAAAAGAGAGAATTATATGAGTGTGTCTGTGTTTTGTAATGCCTTATTGAAAATATAGATAAATATATCTTAAAACTTACCTACCAAATGCGCACACACACAAACACACACACACACACACACACACACACACACACACACACACACTTCTTACTCCAGTTTGATCCAGATAACTTTGTCCTTCGGCAAGAGTTGTAGCCGAAGTGTATTTTATTATTAATATTATTATTATTATGATTATTATTATTATTATTATTATTATTATTACTGTTATTATTATTATTATTATTATTATTATTATTATTATTATTATTATTATTATATATCTATTTCTTAAACTATCACTGATATCGTGTCTTAACAATGTCTAGCGTCTCCCAGTGTCTTGGCGACGGCTCCTCGTCCATGAATCACATCAATACCACAACAACATTTTCTCGTTCCTAATGTTATACTGACACAAACTATGGGTAATCTGTTACTGCTTCTGACCTGGAGAATCTTCTGTCATAATGTAGACACCTGCTCATGGGCGGCGTGGGTGGCGAAGCGAGCGGCTGAGGCGTGGGTGGCAGGGTGGTGGGTGGCAGGGTGGTGGGTGGCTGCGGTGTTTACTACTATGAATCTCCTTCAACTACACTGTCTTGGTTATTACCTTCTATAACCCCACAGTTCCAGTTTTTTCTACTCACTATATTCACCAGCAGTGAGGCGTCGTGAGCTTGGTGTCCCCGGTTACTTAATAGCCTCTCACTGTTCCGTCAACACCATAATAAAAAAAAATATCAAAGTTTCAGATTTGTATTAAAAGTTTCAGCAAACACCTTACTTCAGCAAAGACTTAAAAATTACACGCACACAAGATCAATGAGTCATCTACACGCCGGTAATGACTGACACACACACATACACACTGGCCCTGGGAGGCAATGAAAGTCCTTAGAGTGTGTGGTAGTGACCGAGGGAGCGGTGAGTATGTGTGGTGTGTGGCACTGGTGGTGTTACAACGTGTACTAACTAACTCTACTCCGGGCGACTGGTAACTGTTGCTATACTGTTGTACACATTACACCTACTAGCTCCTCCTCCCTCCTCCTCCCTCCCCCTCCCTCCCCCCCCCTCTCTCTGCCTCCCCCCCCTCCTCTCTCTCTGCCTCAACCCACAACTACCTCCTCACCATCCCACCCACACCCACACCACCGCCGTTTCCCCACCCCAATAACCCCCCACTTCTACCTAACCTCAGCCCCACCCCACTATTACTTCCTCTTAAGCCCCTTCCTTCCCTTCCCCTTCCTTCCCTTCCTCCCCTTCCCCTTCCCTTCCCTCCCCTCCTCCCCTTCCCTTCCCTTCCCTTCCCTTCCACAACAAATCCCTGTGATAAAAGTCATTCGCGTTTAGAGAATTTAATGACTTGTGGAGTATCACGTTGGCCTCCTCCTCCTCCTCCTCCTCCTCATCCTTCTCTTCCTCTTCTTTATCTTCTTCTTATCCTCCTCTCTAGTACTTCCCTCCCTTTTTCTCCTCTTTCTCCTCTTATTTCCTCTTTACCGTCTCCTCTTTTTTTTCCTCTTCCTCCTCTCTTTTACACCTTCATTATACTGTTCTTCATCTCTTCCTTTATTTTCTCTTTTTCTCCTCCTTCTTTCCTTCTTCTTCTCCTTCTTCTTCTTCTTCGTCTTCTTCCTCCATTATTCTCTTCTGTCTTTGGTATTTACTTTATCTATACTTATTGCTATTCTCTTATTTATTATGACTTTATTATTCTCACCTGTACCATTGTGACACCTGGTCTTAATAATATGTTCCTCTACCTAGATGCCGATTTCACCTCCTTGGAGTATGAATATCGAATGATTTTACCGATTTTACTTCTTTGGGATCTGAATACCGGGTGATTCTGCCGATTTCACCTCCTTGGAGAATGAATATCGAATGATTT